GGTGCTGGGGGATTGAACTGCAGTCCCTGTGCTTTGCTAAGATTGTTCTAAGTAGGTGCTTTCGACTACTGAGCCATCTCACCAGCCCCAAAATCTTTAAATCTTAAATATCATTAATAGGACCAGCCACATAGCTCAGCAGATTAAAGCACCTGCTTAGGCAGACCCAGGGACCGGGGGTTTGACCCCTGATGTCGCATGCTGGCCCCGCTTCTGGGGTGTGCTGAGACAGCGACTGAGACTGGCTGTTGTGGGGTGTACCTGCAATCCCAGCTGTAATTTCAGCTTGGGAGGCTGAACAACAGGAAGGATCACTGTAAGTCTGATCTGTGTAGTGAGACCCTGAAGACCCTGTATTAAATACATTAAAGAAAAAGATAATAGATTAATGTAAGAGGACTCAGTGCAGGTGATCTTAATTCATGTATATGTAAAAATACAATATCATGAGCAGATGTGTTTCTGTCTTAGGAACATACATTGATAGGGTCAGCAGATTCCCAAGACATCCAGCTGTGTGGAATGGGAATTCTTCCTGAACACTGCATTATAGACATCACCTCCGAAGGCCAGGTTGTGCTGACTCCTCAAAAGAACACCAGGTAATGTACTAGAATTTGTCTTAATTTCACAGTAATTTTTAAGAGGCTAAAAATATACTGGTGGTAAGTGCCATCACTTCAGACATCCAGGTCTGTGCCAGGCCCTTGCTGTTTAACTCCTCTGTCTCTGCTCCCATTCCTGTGGCCTCAGTTAGGCCTCCCAAGTCTGAGCAGAGCCCCAAGCAACACCCTGAACTTACGCTTGGGTCACTCACATGCAGCTGGTGGGATTCCTTCATCTTCGTCAAAGTCTCTCACACCCCTCTTGGTGGCTCCTGCTTCGCAACACCTGCCCTTCCTTTGCCATGCCCACTCAGGTTGCCCTTGAGGCTTCTGCACCATCATTAATGTCCTTTGAGAGTTCCCTGTTTACTGACTCTGATGGCATCTGAAGCCATCCAGCCAAAACTCAGGACTCACACTGTCACACTGGGATTTCTGACAGTCCTCGGTGCAAGTAAACCTGGCTTGTTTACCATGCTAAGTTCCTGGTAATCTTTGGTTGGAGGACATTGACATAAGGTTTCCAAAACTTTTAATTTTTATTTGAAAAGTTGAATGTTTTCTTCGGCAGTAAATGCTGCTGGTTGTTTTCCTCAAAGTGACAGGCTTGCTGTCACCTCTTATGCCTAGTGCTATAACCATTTTAGGAAAGTCAGTGAAGAATAAATACTATGAATATTAAAATTCACCAAGGGCACATATTATGTTGGGGAATTATAATCATTTTGTTTCTCCTAGTAACTCGACTGTTGTAGTACTGGAAAATTAAAGCAGAAGATAGGAAAATCATCATTCATGGCTTTCTCTTCTGTCCACAGAACATTTGTAAATGGGTCCTCTGTATCCAACCCAATACAGCTGCACCATGGGGACAGGATCTTGTGGGGAAATAACCATTTCTTCAGGTATGACACTATACAGTCTCCAAAGGTGAAATGTTTTTTGAAGATAATACTCTGAAATAGGAGGATACATTTTGAAAAGTAACTGTAGAAACTGTATTTTGTTTTTGTATATATGTGTTTGCTCTGTGCATGTTTTTATATGTTCACGATGTAAATATGATGAACCCTAGGAACTTAGGGACAACACACTCAGGAAAAATTCTTTGTTTATATGCATATGTTTGCCTTTTTATTTCCCACTTGAAGATGGATATTTCTTTCTTTCTTTTTTTTTTTTTTTTTTTTGCAGTACCAGGGATTGAACTCAGGACCCTGCGCTTGCCAGACAAGTGCTTATTCTATTGAGCTATCTCCCCAGCCCTGAAGATGGATATTTTGCCATCTAGTATAATACTACATTAATTTTTTTCTGGGATGCTTATTTTTATTTGTGTGTATGTATACCTATTTATAGATAAACATACATGTATTATTCTTAAAAATGATGGTCATCATTTCCTTGGGCATGAAACCAGGTTAATCTTTCCTTTAGGAATGCTTTCACCTTCAGGTAACAGCACCCTTACAATGATGACATAAACAGATCAGTTTCCTTCTTTAACAGAACAAAAACTCTGAAGGGAGATTGTTGTTAGTGTTGAGTGAATATCTCGGAAACGTCCTTGCTGTCACCCACCAGTGTTGTGGTGCTCCCGTGGTCTCACAGCAACAGTGTCTTTCCTGCCTCGAGCATAGTGTTCAGCTCAAGGAAGCAAAGGAGATTCAGGGGTAGTGCAGCATGGCGGGCCGCTTGTTAGAGGCAAACAGACTTCACTCACATTACGTTTGCCTCCTAGCTGCCAAGAAGACTGGGAAGGGCAGGGTTTTCCCTGGAGCTGCACAGAAACTGTTCCCCAGACAGACTGGACTCATAGGCAGGAGACTATAGCATTAACATCCTGGCATCTTTCCATCCCTGACCAGTGTGCCTCAGCTGTCACACTGACTTTTCTTGTCAATAATCGAGACCCTTGCTTGTAGGCCAGCTGGGCCTGTGTTTTGCTTCTGAGAAAAAGGTAGATGAGTACAAAGATTATGGGCAGTTTTTCTCCTTTCCAAAGTAAATCAAATATAAATTGCTAGGCTTAGTCTTCAGAACCTTCATGGTTTGGATTAAATTAACTTTCAGCTGTGTCACTCAGCCTGTGCTGTGCCTTTGACTCTCAAGTGCTCCAGGAACTAGGAACATTTCTGTTTTCACATCTCTTCCCACACTGTTCCCTTTGCCTGTCACTCACCATACCCTGTGACGCCCAGCATGGATGTTTTCCTGCTGTACTCTTCCTTTACTGTCCACCCTGAAGGAGCTTCATCTTTTCCTCCCGCCCAGCTCCTAACAGTCAGGTGGCCCGTGTCACACTTTCCATTGTAATTATGTGTGTACATCTGAGTAGAAGATCCTGAAAACAGCAGTTGCCCTGTACTTCATGGTGTTCCCTTGGCCTCTAGCATGTGTCAGTGTTTAAGAGATGGAATGATTAAGTGCTGATCTTGATTTTTTAAAATAAAATCCTTTTGTGCACTCTAAGACTCAGTTTGCCTAAAAAGAAGAAGAAAGCAGAAAGAGAGCATGAGGAGCAGGATTCCTCCCTGAAGAACGACAGCAGTTCTGAGCAGCTGGATGTGGATGGCGACTCCTCCAGTGAGGTGTCAAGTGAGATTAACTTCAGTTTTGAGTACGCACAGATGGAGGTGACCATGAAGGCACTGGGCAGTAATGGTGAGTGAGTCTGGTAGCATCTTCTCAAGGTGCTGGAATTAAAGGTGTGTACAATAGACTTGTTAGTGAGATTAAAGGTGTGTACAATAGACTTGTTAGTGAGATTAAAGGTGTGTACAATAGACTTGTTCATGAGATTAAAGATGTGTACAATAGATCTTTTATATATTAGCAATATTGTTCTGTTGCTGAACTTGGATTTTTTCTGCAGTGAACTCTATTCTTTTGTGTGTGTGCTTATGATAGTGTATTATATATATAAAGACCTTCTTTTTGTCTTCATATAGACTCCGATAAGGGCAGTTTGTTTTCATTGGTAGAATCCCTCAGCTCTGAAGCCCCTAGCGTATTGTTACTGTAACAGTATTTCTGGAGTATTCATGTCTTGGGCAGTGGTAGGACATAGAGAACAACGGGCTTTTGTCTAGGAGACATAGGAGAGTAGCTGAGAATATGTGGCAGCATAAGCGATTGGCACTAAGGAAAGCTGACTGTTACAGATTATCTTCTGTGGTGTCAGGTAGTGTTAATTAAGATGACAGATAATAAAACAGTATGTGAACTGTGTTGTACCTTTTCTTTATGATCTTTTCTACAAAACCATGCTCAGATCCAATGCAGTCAATACTCAACAGCCTAGAACAGCAGCATGAAGAAGAGAAGCGATCTGCGCTTGAGCGCCAGAGGCTCATGTACGAGCATGAGTTGGAGCAGCTGCGAAGAAGGCTGTCTCCAGAGAAGCACAACTGTCGCAGCATGGACAGGTTTTCCCTGCACTCACCCAGTGCCCAGCAGCGCCTGCGACAGTGGGCAGAGGAGAGGTAGGGGAAACTGGTGTCACCACAGCAACTACCTGGGGGAGGAGGGGACGCTTGGTCATTACTTTCAAAAGTTTTACGGTACAGTGCAAAGAACCAGTTTGCATTGTTATTTTCCACTTTTGAATGAGGAATTGCCAGTTTATATCCCTTTCTTTAAAATTGCCCATATGAGATGCCACGCCATTTTCAGTTTATTAACTTTTGGATTTGAATAAAGAAGTATCCTTTATCATTGTATTATGCTTTAGGTTCTGAAGCTTGGGTAGATGCTTTTTAAAAAAAGGAAAAAAGAGAAAGATGGTTGTCTGGACTGATTAGCTCAGGTAGGTAAAGCATGGTGCAAGATGAGCTGCAGGTTGCAAGTTTGACTTCTGTGCAGGCGAAATAGCAGTGTCTTGAAACCCTTGTTCCCTAGGTACAGACTGTCCATTGCTAAGCTCTTGCTGGTCTGCAGACAGAAGGCATCCCTGTCAGCTGGAGATGGATGGAAATGTAGTTTTCGGTTTCCACTCCAGGCTGGCTGAGTCAGGATGTTGAGTTTATCCAGACCCTAGGGTGATGCACAGACAGTCAGGTTTGTGAAGCGCTGCCCTCATCTCCAGCCAGCTTGCCACCGAGATGTGCCTGTGCTTGGAGCCCAGATACAAGCATGTGCATGGTCGGTGCCGGTGATATGTTTTCTGAGTGCAAGACACTAGGGCAGCTTGGTTTGCAGCTTGGCATTGCCATGTCATGACTGTGTGGTTTCTAAGTGCTGCTTGGTGTGCTACATCCTCCCCACCTCCACCCTTCCTTTTTTTTTCTTCTAAAGAGAAGCAACATTGAATAACAGCCTGATGAGGCTGAGGGAACAGATTGTTAAAGCCAATCTTTTGGTGCGAGAAGCTAATTACATCGCAGAGGAGCTGGATAAAAGAACTGAATATAAAGTGACCCTCCAGATTCCAGCCTCCAGCCTGGATGCCAACAGAAAGGTGAGGCAACTATTCAGCACCACCACAGAGATGCTCAGGGATGAGGTGGCTTCAGGTGTCACTCTGTGATAGGGACATAGGAATACCCTTTACCTTCCCTGGCCCTGTCAGTTCACTCAGCTGTCTGCACTGTTTCTGAGAAGTCCATCCTAATCAGTCTTCCTAAAGTGGCTCTCCCGTTCATTGTTACCACTCCACAACCCCTTTCCTACCAGTCAGACATCCATTTACTTACACTCTGTTATTTTCAACTTGCTAGTAGATTGCTCTGTAAGACCATTCATTAGTTGTTTCCTGTGTGTATTTAAGAACACACATCTTTCTTTTGTGTAATATAATAAGCTCAGTAAGATTTTGTGGAAAATCCCTGCCACAATATCCTATCCTTGACAGTCCTCTTCCTCCTTTTCCTAAGATGTAACTGTGGAAAGCTTAGGTAGAATTTCCTGTTTGGGTAAGTCTGAGGCAGTCCATGTGTTCTGTTTCTCTCTCAGTGTTTACCACAGCAGTGCTTGCATCCACCTATCTCAGATGTCCAGTTCTGACAGTGAGGATCACCTCTTTTTTGCTTATGACATCACAGCATTAAGGTTGTTATTTTTCAGAGTAGATATTTGGCAAATGTGATACTGTCTTGAACATGATGTCATCATTACTGTACAGATACTTGTCTTTAATGTATACTCTGTGTAGTGTGAAAGATTTTACTGACTTAAAAATTTTATTTTATTAGTACTGGAAGGGCAAAGTCTAGGTATAATTGGGTGCATACACAAGGAACGGGAGGCAAGTCCTGGGCACAAGGGTAAGGTCTTTCATCCTGTAGTGTTTGAGCTGGAAAGGCAGTGCTCATGTGCTCCTCAGGGCCGCTTCTGTTGCTGGGGAGATGTGCAACACTAGTGGAGTGGACAGCTACTCATTCACGGTGCTCTCCCTGCTTTACACAGATAGCATTTCTAGACCCCAGCTGTGGTCCTCCGAAGGGCCAGTGCCCAATGATCACTAATGGGCCTTTTGCACCTGTTCACGGGCTATTGGAGGAAGATAGAGGACCTTCGTAGTATGGGAAAGAATTACAATTTTTGACCAGAATTACTAAAGCTTTGTTTTATTATATAAAGTTTAGGGGAAACGATTACAAGCAAGATGCTAATGAAATACCAGTGTGTTTCACAGTTTATTTATTTTTATTTCCTTTTCTACTTTATGATTTAAAAAAGTTTTATGAAACTTTTACATTGAAAATGTAAAAAGCCCCTGCCTTTTGATATGAATTAGTCTTTTTACCTGCTGATGTTCTGTAGTCATATGATGGCTTGAATACATTTTCATTTCAACTTCCTATATAAGATAGAGTATCTAGTCTTTGGGGCTTTAGATTTAAGTTTTCTATCTAACTGCAATCAAAATGTACAAGTACATGAATACTTAGCCCTAAGTTAATACTGAGTTTTTAAAAATGTGATTGCAGTTGGATGTAGAGGCATATTAAAGCTTGCTGGATCTCTGGATGCTTTGTCCCCATCAGTCTGGTGGGGTGAACTTTGACTGGTGTCCAGAGCTCAGTGCTGCTGTCACTACCAGTAGGCATTCTGGTGTCCCACATGGTTCCCTTCTCCTGTCCTACAGCGGGGCTCTCTTCTCAGTGAGCCTGCAATCCAGGTGAGAAGAAAAGGCAAAGGGAAGCAGATTTGGTCTCTGGAGAAACTGGACAACAGGCTATTGGACATGAGAGACCTTTACCAGGAATGGAAGGAATGTGAGGAAGACACCCCGGTGAGCTGCCGCAGTTGGGGGTGGGGGACGGGGGACAGTCAGAGGGGGGACAGTTGGGGAGCTCACCTGCCCAGCTTGGGAAATTGTTCTTTTCCCAAAGTTGTTGGCCTGTTCTTGAGGAGAATTTTTTACATCTTCAAAACTGTTTAAGAATTTTAATAACCTACCTTTCTGGTATCTTTCTTTTCTGGGTTTCTAGCAGATTCTCCCCTGTCTATGAGACCTTCTGTTGGCCTGAAGGTGTCTGCCCTGAGCTGCTCTGAGATTCTCTTTAGGACAGAGCTCATAATTACCATCCCTCTTCCCACCCTCATACTGAGCCTTGCAGATAGTAAACTACAGTACACCCTGTACACACTGAACCTCCCCGGTACCTTAATATTTGCACCATGAGGAACTTTTTAAAAAGAAGTTTTGACCTTAATGTAGGTGCCATTGACCTTTTTGCAGGTACTTTCTCCTCAATTTGAAGATTATTTCATTTAGGTCAGACATGTGTACTTGTATATATTTAGGACAGAAAGATGTATCATGTATTTTCAGTACTGTAGGTTCTACTCCACACTTATTTATGTAGCTCCTTTTGTAAAAGTGTTTATTTTTCTAGATTACCATCACTAAAATTGTCATTAATTTGTAGTTAGATATTTTTGCTTAACATTTTAAAATTTTCTTTGATATTCTGCTCCTACTTCAACTTAGAATTATAAAAAGAACAAACTCAAATACCAATTGCTTTCCTAAGGGGCCAATCTGCATGTGAAGCAGTGGACCTGATGAATTGGGAGGAGCAGTGAAACTGATGTGGTGACCTCTTCCGAAAAAATGGAGAGAGCTTTGTACCTTGGCCACCTTCTAGACAATATATATCATTTCTCCATCAGACAGTTTTGTGGCAAGACTTCCATATGAAATAGAAATGGTGAAGTTATTGGGATTGTTAATTGGGATTTCCTTCTTGTGAATGAAGGACACTGACCACCATTTTAAGTGTGTTTGTGTGTGTGGCTGTGTGTAGTGAATAGTACAGTACAGTGCTGTGCTTGAGGAAGAACTTTATTTTAAACATGGGATGTTGGTACACACTTATAATCCCAGCACTCGGGAGGCTGAGGCAGGAGGATCTCATTGAGTTCAAGGTCAGTCACCACTACAAAATGAGACCCTGTCTTAAAGCACAAAACAAACCAAACTTTATTTTGCCTTAAGAAATGCAAGACACATGATATAGTGATGAAAGTTAAGTTTAATGACTATTATAGTATATCCAAAAGCAGTAGGTTGAATGCATTTATTTTCTGTGGTTTTTGACGTGATATTCCCTGTCTTTCAGGTAACCCGATCTTATTTCAAGCGTGCTGACCCATTCTATGATGAGCAGGAAAATCACAGTCTTATTGGGGTAGCCAATGTCTTCCTTGAGTCCCTTTTCTATGACGTGAAGCTACAGTATGCTGTCCCGATCATCAACCAGAAGGGAGAGGTTGGCTTTCCCTTTGTGCCTTCCTTCCTGTAGAGAGCAGTTGTGAGAACAGTCCCGTGGCAGTAGGATACTGCTGTTACTGGTTGTTTTTTTTGTTTTTTGTTTTAGCAGTAAGAAGTGACATGTATTTGTGTTCTAGGAATCTTGTTTCCGCAGGGCTTCTTGGTGGGTGTTGCCAATACTCTTGAGTGCAGAGCAATTGTTAGAAACTAGTAACTGAAGAGCCAGGTATTATGGCACACACCTGTAGTCCCAGCACTCAGGAGGCTGAGGCAGGAGGATTACCCCAAGTTTGAAGCCACCCTGAGCTCTATAGTGAGTTCAAGGCCAGCCTAAACTATTTAGTGAGACCCTGTCCAAAAAATAAAAAATAAAGCTAGTTCCAGGCCAGGGAGAAGGCTCAGTAGAATAAGCACTTGCTTGGCAAGCACAAGCGCCTGAGTTCAAACCCTGGTTCCACCAAAAAAAAGCTAGTACCTGGTAGCGTGGTTGTAACATAGAGAGGTTCTCTCAGGCGAACGAAGGGACCATATCTGGAAACAAGTGTCTTCTCCGCTCTGTTGCTCCAGGTGGCGGGCCGGCTGCATGTGGAGGTGATGAGAATCAGCGGTGCTGTCGGGGAAAGGATCGCAGGAGGTGACGACCCTGCAGAGGTGCTTGGTGAGAAGGAGACCCAGGAAAACAGACTGATCTGCATGGTGAGTCCCAGGATCCATAAGAAGTAGCCTAAGTGGAGCTGTTCTTAACAACTGTGGTTGTCTACATAAGAATTCTTAAAATCTTTTTCAAATTTTGAAAATAGCTGTTGCCAAATAAACCTTGCAGTGTTTAGTATTCTGAGGCCCATATTTTGTCTCATATCCTGAAGCACTGGTTCAGCACTTCCAGTAGCTCCCTGTGAGGCTTGGACAAGTTATCTTTTGTCTGGGCCATTCAGCTCCACAGTCCTGTGAGTCTGAGCTCATCTATACTGCTTTGTGAGAAGGCTGGGTTACCGCACCAGTTTCCCCTCCTGCAGAAGGTTCTTTCTTTCTTTTTTTTTTTTTTTAATGTATTTGGTACAGGGTCTCACTACACAGCTCAGATTCGTAGTGATCCTCCTGTTTTCAGCCTCCCCAGTGCTGAGATTACAGGTATTCACCACCACATTGGGACTTGGTCGCCAGCTCAACATGCCCAGGGATGGGGTCGTTGTAGCATGCGGTACTGGGAATTGATCCCTGGTCCCTGCACTTGCCTAAGTCCTGAGTCCTGCCAGAAATGTGACTTAGGCCAGCTCTGGTACTGCCCCAAGCTTTGCTGTAGTCACTCTTCAGTTTCCCTGTGTGTTCTCTGCTCTTCTTCACCCAGCTGCCTTTGCTTGTGCTATTTAGTGTGGCCCAACCCCTCACTCCTTGCCGTTTGGGCCTCAGCTCTTACCACTTGTCTTGGGCTCACCCACAAGCGCCATTCATGCCCCTGTTACGAGTCACCAGCCAGATGGCATTCTAATGCTGAGGGTACAAGATGGGTGCAGCCCGGCTCCTGCTGTCCAGCAGCCCCACCCTGCACAGTTGGCACAAAGCTGTAGGAGACACACAGGGTGAAAGCAGACTTCAGTATTGTGTGACCCAGCTGCTGGGGTGGCAGGCACCAGAGGTCCTGGATCACAGAGGAGCCGTGTAAATCTAGAGCGCAGGCCAGGAGAAAGAGTCCTGGGAACCTGAGGGAGAGAGCTGGGTTTCTCCCACCTGTCTCTGGGCGCTATGTCTTTCAAGGGTCATTGTGGCTCCCTGGGCTCCTGCCCTCCCTGCCTAGGAGAGCCACCTGCCCAAGTTTTCACAGCAGTGGAGTAGCCACCCCTAGTGGCCAGCATTGCCGTTGGTTCAGAAGCTTGGCAGGAAGCAGCTAAAAAGGTGTTGTTTTTTTTTCCCCATTTTTATTTTTATTTTTTATAGTTTCAAAGCTGATTAATAGGACATTTTCGATAATCAATACATTGTACATTGTTATCTTCTTAGTGGTTATCCATAGAACAAGGAGCAGACAGGATTTCCTGTCCAAATACTACTCCTCTTTCTTCTCATTGAATTAAGAGAAAGTAGCTGTATATTTATGCTATTTTGTATATATAAATACAAAGTGATCTTTCCTTTGTACCCCTTCTTTTTTTTTTTTTTTTTTTGGTCCTGTCAGAGGTGGATAGTCTATTGACATCTAAATACTATAGGTGTTTGAATTCAGCTAAACAATCTAACACTGTCTAGCAGTCTATAATAGTAGTGGGTTATCCTCAGAAGTTATTGACTTGAGCCTTTTACAGCTCATCGTATTAATATGGCTTTACTTTATATACCTCGTTTTTATACTTTCCTGCTGGATGGTTAAGATCAAGATAAAGCAAGACCTATATACCAAGAAATGTAACTTTTGTATCTGATAAGGTCAGCGAAGTACTCTCAGGATTTATCCTGTAAACCTGTACCACACTTTGCAGATCCTTTGTCAGTGTCAGCCATGAGGATAAGTCACAGCCATTGCTTGACCAATTTGCTCTCTGTGAAAGCCTAAGAAAATGTTTTTTCTCTCCATGTGACTCTCCCCAGGCACACTCTACATCATCGATCACATTCCTCTGTGACTCTATAATCTTCTTGATCAGAAAATTTGGAGCACAACTGAATTACATGTTGTTACAGTACAGGTTCTCCTATGTCCCGAGTCTTCATTGACCTTGAAAGGCTAGGGCCAAAATGTTGACTGACCTTTCAGACCTTCCTTTTCTCCAATTTTGAACTGCTAACTTAGGTTGTTAACCCTCCAGAAGAGAAGCTAATTATTAACCTGCAATATATGCAGTTCGG